AACCAACTTTCTTTTGTCTATTCGTATTTTGTTGTGGGCTTGATAAAATTATTTTTAATATTAGAAATTTGAAGATCAGGATAAAGCTTTTGTATTTTCAAGAGTACATATTATCCTAATATTTTAGAAAAAAAAATGTATATAGCTTGAATACTTTTAATTACATAGTATCCTAATTAGGGTGGCTAACCCGAGTACTATGCTTGTCTTGGGTCTGGTTGGATCCATTGTTTGATTATGAGGATTTTTTTTTTTTTGCAATTTTTTTACCATCACATGCCTTATGGTCATGAGCTTCTTTATTGGCCAATAATACTGTAAATGTTGCCAATATTGTGACAATATGAACACCTAGCGTGCGCCTAAAGGTACATGATTGCCATATATACCCGATGACTACCAAGACCCGAGGTCAGGTCTACGTGTTGGGTCCCGGGTCTGGTTGGGTCCATTGCCATCCTTGATCCTATTATGTGTTATCTTATGTCTATTTGATGGAAAAAGCTTTTATAAAGGTGACGCCCTAAACAATTAAATTAAGGTGCACTTCAAAAGTTCATTAAAAGAGGTTGTTTTAATGTTGAACAACTCTTAATTCGATTATCTCGGCCTCAAAATTTATGGATATGAGAAAAATTATATTTCAAGTATTAAAAATAATGCATATTTTAATGTATTATCTAGACTGTTAATTTTCAAGTGTTCATAGATTTTCTTACACTATTTTTTAATCTTCAAATTTTATAATTAAAGATGAAAATAAATTTCAAGCCTTCATAGAGATTTCTAATATTGAAATAATATATTTCGGCACTATTTGAAGGTATGCCTTACTTTGATTATGTAGGGCGTCAACCTTATACAAACCACACCCCTATGTGCTTGTTTGCCAATATTTTATAATTTCATCAGATTTGGGTACAAGAGCCCGCTGACTCGCTAACATTCATCTTTAAGATGGATATTGTTTGTAAAAACCTCATAGGGCTAAAAATGAATTCAGATGGTGCAAAAAGTTTTCGTAAAAAAATCACATTTTAAATAGAGAATGATCCTATAGGACCCTCCCCCACTCATGTATGTAGGACCTCAAAGGATCACTATTAAATTTGGCACGGATCTATAAAAAAGTCAAGCCCCACACCTATGTGATAACTTTTTTAGATATCCGTGCCAACTTTAATGGCAATCTTTTAAGGTTTTATACGCATGAGTGGAAGATGGTCCTATAGGATCATTACTCTTTTAAATATTAAAAAATTTATTTCTTTTTCATATTCATGATCATCTTAACATAGATCATGAATCCGTAAAATTTTAAAATAAAAATCTATTTTTAAGATAGGTTTAAACGGAGCCCGCATATGCACGGTATGAGTCGACTGACCCATAGAAACCCCAATCCTTTCATATTAAGGTGCATAGTTGATTGCAAGCTTCTATTTTGGCATATATCTCTACAATACAGATAATTTTCTTTTTATTAAGAGAAGATCATTACCTTCCCTTACTACAAAAAGGAAAAAAAATAATATAATAATAAACAAAGAAAACCATCACACACGCAAATGCGTGTGGATATTTCCAACATAAACAAATAATAGAAATTTGATGTGCTATCAATTACAATGCTTTTATACCATGTAAAAAGATTAAAAAACTTGGCTCGGGCTCGGGACTTAGGCCCAATTGTAGCCGAGTAACTTGGGTGAGATCGAGTGGACTAGGCCAAATAGCGCATGGGCAAAAATGCCCTTAAAAGAATAATAAAAAAAGGTTGTTAAAAAATAAAAATAGAAAAAATGAAAATACATTGAAAACAAAATTAAAAGTCCAAATAAGATGGAAAAATATATAAGACACAAATTTAGAAAAATTGATTTATAGCGCCTTAATTTGATTGTTTAGAGCCTCACCTTTATGTAAACTTTTTCCTTATTTATATGATTTTTTTGATATTTTTTGTTTTATCACGAAATTTTACCCCAAGTACTCGGCTCAGACTAGGTTGAGTCCCTAAACACAAATGCCATGTAATTTAAGAGCCACTGAACTACAAAAACTAACTATGATTCATTACCGGTTTCTTTGCTATGCCTCTAATTTCAAATCAAACAAGGTCAAACCAAAATCCAACTTCTCCACCAATATCTGACTCAGTTCCAATTCATCATCATGATCGTAACTTTTTTCCAATTAATTAAAAGTCGACTACATCTATCATAATCCATCATTCTGCTCTATTAAAAGCCATATTCTCATAAAAACTATAAGCCACTCATTTCCAATTAGTATTGCATAATACTTTGGACCTTTCTATAATCCATATATGCCCTCCCATTCTCCAATTCTTTGATTGTAGCTTAGCAACCCTGGAGATTTATTTTCTAATGCCTTCTCTACCATTTCATGTAAAAGAAGCAAGAGCCATAGCGAAAATGTCATTCTCAATGATAGGTCCTTACCATCTCATCATACATGGATTTATGAGGCTCATGACCATTTCTAAGCATCACAACAGCAAGGTCCTCCACTTTTGGCATCCTACAATGCATTTTTTAGCTGGTTCAGAGTTTGAAGTTCCGAACTAACTGGCTTGCCTTTTTTCTTTTTTATGAAAAAGCGTTTTGGGAGTGGAAGTTCAGAACGCCCAAATTCATAAAAAGTAAAGGAAAACACTATTCAGAACTCCAATTCCCGACTGCAATCTTGACACAAAAAGGTTTGAAACTTGGGTTTTAATTTGAGAACCAAGCACGAGACAAAAACGAGCTGGTTTCGAATTTGGAGTTCCAAATCAAGGAAATTTTGGAAAAAAGAAAACATAGAGAAAACCATTGCGTATAAATTTTAAAAATTGCTTAATTTTTTAATACCATAATAATAATAATGATGCTGATGCTGATGATAATGATAATGATGATAATAATAATAATTATATATTTACATTAATTTCTCTATAAAAATATATGTTATAAGGCTTTTTTCTTCTTGATAAAACCTTATTCTTCAATGAGAAATGAGATAACCCTTGGAGCCATCCAACCATCCTTAACCAAACCAAACCTTACTCCTACCTCTTCCTGTCTCGGTCCCCTTGGTTTGCAATGGAAAGAAGATAATCAACACAACAATAAATGAAAAGACAAAAGATAATAAATAAGTATTTAGTTTCTATAAGGCCTCCCAGGTGACAATAAATAAGGATGTGGTTTCTATAAGGCTTAGGCATTATGGAGAAAGGTAAAGCCTCACCACTAGACCTTGTCCGAAAACATATCAGGCATGGAAAACTCCTATGATGGATTTAAAATCTATTTCAATCCTGGATTATAAAATTTATAGATTGAAAAATGGTATAGATCTCATAGTTATGTGAACTTTTGAAAATGGATGGTTTAGATAATGTGCTATTTATGATGGATTTCAAATCTATTTCAATTGTGGATTATAAAATTTATAGATTGAAAAATGGTATAGATCTCATAGTTATGTGAACTTTTGAAAATGGATGGTTTGGATAATGTGCTACAATAGATATTCTTTTTAAAGCTTGAAATCTTTATTTATTTTTTTTAAGGTTGAGACGATCGATTTGAAGGTTTTTTAACCCTGGACCGACAAAAGTTTTGCAATAAATAAAGAGTGGGTTTTTAGGAATTTGGCTTTATAATATTTAGTAAAGTTGCAAAGCATAACCGCTTGAAAAATGCGGCTGCAGTCTTGAAAACCCTTGTGATAGCCTGAAAAATCAAAATTTGCCTTTAATTATGAAATGTGAAGCCATAAAATAATTGCAGATCTAGCGATAGTGTGAGCATTTGAAATAAAAGGTTTGAAAAATATATTAAAGGTAATCACTTTCAGGGTTTAAATCATAATTTTTCTCAAGCTCTTGATGATTGATTTACATAACTTGAACCACCTTTTCCTGTGAGATTTGGTATAAGATGGCACTCTCTTCAAATTTTTGGAAGAGAATGTTACTAATTACATGTTATCTTTAAGACTATCCATAATGCTACTGTAGGAGCAATATATACATCTACTCCCTCAGCCAAGAGATCTCCTTGGGCAATTTTTTTTGTTTTTTTTCTATCTGAAATTTTGGGGATCCTATGAGAATCATTATATTATTATTTAAAAAGTAAATAAATGTCTAGTATCTTAACACTTATATCTCACCCTTTAAAATTGTATGGTCTTTATTTAATCTTAAGACATTGTTTTTTTTCAAGTACATAGAAGGTACAATTAGGAAATTTTTCTTCTAGAGGTTAATCCAATGACGAATAGGTTACATACAAATATTCAGGGTCCTAAATTAATCCTAAATGGGGTTTACCTGAGGGAGTAAACAGAGAGTATATTCCAGCTGGAGTATAATAACTTTTGGCCTTTCACAATTTGGAAAGATCAAGAATAGAAAAAAAAGAAAAAATATTATCTTTTTGATATGGGATTGCATGTCACGATTACTTATAACTATCAAACGTATGTGTCACAAACTTTGAAATTTTTATTTTTGAACTTTAAGTTGGTGAATAAAATATTATATGTAAAAGTTAATGGCATTTTCGGTTGTTAGAAGGTTGTAACCTTAAACAATCCAATTAAGGTGTACCTTCAAATTTTATTATAGCATGTAATTTTGGTATTAATTTTTTTTAAAGATTATTTAAAAATCTATTTTCATATCTAAATATAAAATTTTAAAATCAAATAAATATATAAATATATAAAAATCTTGAAAATAGACGATTTAGATAATATATTATAATATACATTATTTATGGGACTCAAATTTTTTATTTTTTATTTTTCATACCTATACATGTCGAGATGGGGATGATTAATTATAAGGTTTTTCTAAAATTAAAACAACAACAACATTTTTCAATTTTTGAGGTGCAACTGTAATTCTACATTTTTATGGTTGCTACTATATATAAAGTTTGTCCCTTTCGTAACGGCCACCAGCAAACAATGATAGACAGGTATTCGTTATCCTCATCGCTCTCGTCTCTCTCTCTAAACACGGGGTTTTTTCTCTACTCTCTCTCTCTAAAGAGAGGCCCTCCCACCACCTTATATAAGTCCAGATGCTTGAGTCTTGACCCCACATCTTTCTTTCTTCTGCAACTCAACCTCTCATTTTCTCTCTCTCTTCAATCAAGCTTCTAATGATTTTCCGTGCTAATTATTCTCAAGGAATCGGTATATGCCCCATCTGATTCTTTCTCTCTTTAGGAATATCCATTTTTATGCTCCAATTGTTTAGAACCCAGATTCTTGCTGGGTCTTTCTCTTACTTAACAAGTCTAGCAAGCATGCTATAGTGAAACAAACATGAGCAATTCTCTTTCTATAAATCCAGTTTGTGTGCCCAATCCTTTGGCACCCAGAATTTTGTTGGGTTTTTCGCCATGTCTGAGAAGGTCTTGTCACAATTCACAGAGGCTTTTGGAAGTTGGTCTTTATGGCTCTAGAGTGAGAAAAGGAGTTGGTTTTTGTAGTTCTAGAGAGGGAAAAGGTGTTGGGTTTTGCAGTTCTAGAGAGAGACGAGGTGCGGTCTTTGGGAAGAGGAGAGAGATGGGGGACGTAGAGGAAGTAGAGGAAGTAAAGGAGGAAGGGCCTCCTGTTTTGGAAGAAGAGTCTTTGTTGGAGGTGGAGTCGAAGCCCCGAAGAATAGCTCTCTTTGTCGAGCCTTCGCCTTTTGCGTATGCATCTCTCTCTCTCTCCGGTTTACATGTCATTGATAATGAATTTGGATTCAGTGTAGTGGAATTGAAAGTCTGTTTTCTTTGACAAGTATTTGAATTGGATCCTAGTGTCTGTGTTAGTGCAGAGAAATTGTTTGCTGTTTTGTTCTTTTGTTTTGTGAACTTGTTCCTTGAAATCTCTCTCTTGTTGAATTAACTATTCAGATTGAGTCTTCCTTTTATCACTTCCTCTATGCAGTTATGTCTCGGGATACAAAAACCGATTCCAAAATTTTATCAAGTATCTTCGAGAAATGGGGGATGAGGTAATCTTTCTCTTGTTGAGCAATACATGTTTCCTTCGTGTATTATTAGCATTGCTATCTAAGAGTTTGAATCATGTTTTAATTTTATTTTTGGGCTCTCATTGTGAAATTCACATTTCGAAGTCTAATTTTTGTTGTACAATTTTTTTTGCATAAAGGATGTGGGTTTCTTATATTTGATGTTATGTAATATGCACATGCGTTTTTATGGTTTTTTGTGAAGTCAACACACCAATGGCATGATGCCTGTGTTTGAAACTTTACAAACCTGGACACTTGTTCTTAGCATTTCTTCTTGAAATCTCACTACGGAAGTACGTAATTTTAGCTAATATCCTCCCCCTTTGTTTTAATAGAATACGGATGTCTCATGTCAAAAATGGCCAATTTTGATATTGGTGTTTTTGACATTCATATCATGTCATATACTGATAGGTGTCCATGGCTATGTGACAAAGAGTTGAATATTTGTTGTAGGTTATTGTTGTGACCACTCATGAAGGAGTACCTCAAGAGTTCTATGGTGCCAAACTGATAGGTTCATGGAGGTATCTTGTCCAAACTTTTACCCTGATTTTTTATAAGATATGATTTTATGACCATGGCAGTCTAATAAGGGCGAGGACTTTAAACTTTTTTTTACCCCGTCCCAAGCATGGTAAAGGAGGTGGGTTGCGTTACTTAGGCAGCCAACGTAGAACTTTGTCACATCTTATCATGAATAATGATGATTATGATTTTGTGACCATGGTGGTTATTTTCAATGATTATTCAATAGAAAAAAAAAAATCCTTGTTAGATGGAAAATTCATTTGGTATAAAGTATCATGCATAATAGATAAATATGAAGCATGTTTCAATTGTCACTCCTATGTAAGACCCTGACTAGTTGCTTATCTCGAATAGCCCTAAAACATTGCTAGCCTCTGAACTGCTACCTCTTCTATTACCTACTTAGTCTTGGTCAATCTTAACTTTTAGAGGTTTGGACAGAGTTTTAGAGAAAACTTTGCCTAGTGTTGGAAAACTTGGGAGAGTCCTGTACTTGTGCTTGGCACCCTGCCGAGCCCGGAACCAAATATATTTAATTTTTTTTGTTTGGACTCGGCCAAGTCTCTGAAAGCCTCTATTGACTTGGGCTTGGAACCCTTGCTGGTTAAGAGGGTTATTTCTTTGACCCTGGTTGAATCACTAAATTGAAATTGTCATGTATAAACTTGTCCCTAAAATGCCTTCTGCTGGATAAAGTCCATTTATCTGAAGTTATTTGCTCTGAAGTCTTTGGATTTTAGGATCAAGTTCTCTATTACAGGCTTATTCATGCAAACCTTAGCTCTGGAGCAAATGCCTTCACTAATATACAATGAATCTGCTTCTCTAGCTTGGTGCTTGGTATAGAAAAACTAGACAACTGACTCATAGGCCTATTCCCAAAACCACCCTTTCACTGCATTCATACATGCCCCAATGACCCTCCCATGACCTCCTTGTCGTCTCTCAAAATCTCGAACTCTACTTACCGAACGTTTTCCTTATTAACAAAAACACCCTTTAGTTTTTCCCAAGTTGATCTACAATTACTGTGGGCATCTGGAACACATACATAAAGTGTAACAAGATTTTTGCGACCTTCTAGCAAAAGAGAAGCATTATTGTTCCGTGGCACCAATATGGACCCCTGTCCTCTACTCAAATACCAAGAATGAGCTCATCTGAAGTTTAACTTGTTTTCTTTGACTGCCTCGCAGCACCAGTGGAGCATTCTTAAATGATTTACCTGAAAATATGTTTGTTTTTGCGGCTTTAAGTAGGGCCACAAATAACTGATAACTTTGTTTTTCTGTTTGAAATGCCACAGATAACAGATACTTAATAGCAAGCTTTTCTAACTTCAATAAATCAAGTATCTGTAAGATATTTTATACAGAATTAATGATGATCTCTGATGAATGAAATCGATATGAAATCATCCATTATATTCTCAGTTGTTTATGAAAAAGCATTGTTGACTAAATATCTCATAATACTTGGATTATGTGCAGCTTTCCCTGCCCATGGTATCAGAAGGTGCCACTTTCTCTGGCTTTGAGCCCTAGAATTATTTCAGAGGTTGCAAAATTCAAGCCTGACATAATACATGCATCATCACCAGGAGTAATGGTAACTTCATCCTCTTAAATCTTAATACACACACACACACACATATCTATATATGCACGCATACACATATGTAGATAATTTATGGACATGCAAGATACATATGCTTTTTCCTTTCTGGAATTTTTTAATCTGCATGCATACATGCATTAGGGCATGCTTACATAGATGGCACATACATACATGTACGCATAATGCATGATCGTTTCTTTTCAGGTATTTGGTGCCCTAGTAATTGCAAAACTACTGTGTGTGCCCCTCGTCATGTCATATCACACCCATGTTCCAATGTGAGTCAGTCTCTTCTTTCCCATACCTCTATATGTGTGTGTGTGTGTGTGTGTGTTTTTTGTGTTAATGACGGATATGGCAATATTTTTAATAAATTGTTTGTATTATTGCTTATTCTATCACTGTTGATTATTATGCAGATATATCCCAAGATATACATTCAGCTGGCTTGTCAAGCCAATGTGGCTGATAATAAGTATGTCATCTTCTCACCATATTCTCCTTCTATGTGAATGTGGTGATTATTTTTTATTTTTGGGATGAGTTATTTTTTAACTGTCATTTTCTGTGTAGAGTTTCTACACAGAGCAGCAGATCTGACGTTGGTTCCTTCTGCTGCCATTGCCAAGGATCTTCAAGGTGCTAGAGTCACTGCTGGTGTGTACTCTCTTTATTTTGACTTTTTATGTGCCAAACATGTAATAAAAGAATGAGAGAGAGGTTCTTGGAAATAAGAATATTTAGGAAAAAAAGAAGAGAGAGAAAGATGATGACTTCATATAATTCTTCTTTTTTGGGGTTACACAGCCCATAAGATACGGCTCTGGAACAAGGGGGTGGATTCTGAGAGCTTTCATCCTCGTTATAGGAATGAGGAGATGCGAATCCAATTAACGTAAGGCAGATGAGTCTTTGTTTTTCTTTTCCATTTCTTATTATTAGTGTTGGCTATGTTATTTGTTAAAATATATTTGAATAAATTTTGCTGACAGTTCATTAAAAAAATCTGAGATTTGTCTTTTGGTTGTATCTGTAAATCGAAAACTTTGAACATAGTTTTTATGTTTCTTCTCAGCAAGGGAGAACCAGAAAAACCTCTGATCATTCATGTCGGCCGCTTGGGAGTCGAGAAGAGCTTGGATTTTCTTAAAAGGTGATACTCTCTCTATCCCTTTATACTTATCAAATGATTGCCATGTGAAGTTCTGTGTCAACATTCCGATCATTTGCCATAATAAAGTTAAATATCTACATTTGGATATTTTTCAAATGAATCTCTCTCACACTCTCTCTTATTGGGGAATGATTTAACATCACCATCTCATTGTAATATAATGAAACCACACTTCTAGAAAATCATGTGTGCAGCATTCATATGATCCGGCAAACATTCTCTTCACCCTAAATCCAAAAAAATAAAATTCTTGCACCTTAGATATGGTCAAAAGGAGTTCCTTCCGACAATGAATCTAGACCATCCATTTGGTAAATTTGAAGATCTAGGCTTTACGAATTCAAAATCAAATTTTCTTTTTTCAACATTGTTAATCTTATGATAATAAAGCTATCAATTTAAAAAGGAATAAAATTCTTTTGATGCCAAGATCTAAGCATCTAAAAAAAACACTTTCTAAGATGTATTTTCAAATTTTATGATAGTTCAGTACAATAAAAAGAGTTTATATTTTAAAATTGGGGTCAAACAAATGGCTCTAACATGGTTTTTGGATATTGTTTCATAATATATATATATATGAAAAAGCTTGGGTGAGCCCACTAGCTCATGAAATAGTATAAGCCCAACGGCCCAGATTGAATCTGGACTGATCTGACGAACACGGATGTCTAGTAGTGTTTGAATTTTAATTTTTTTCTACAAATCCAAATCACTTAAAATTTTTGACGTGTGTTCTTCTTATTAAGCCATACCTAATAAAAATATAAAAAAAATAATTCTCAAAAAATAAATTGATCAAAATACCCCCGAAACTTTTTTTTGTACATTTTTTACGTAAGTATTCTACTTTATTTTTTAT